GCCTTAGAACAATAAAAATTCAAATTTTTTAAATTTAAGTAACAGAAAAATATTCTGTATTGTTAAAATATTAAAATTTTTTACTATGTTTTGTTTTTATTCAAGAAGCAATTAAAATCACTGCTATTTTAAGACTTTAAACTTGGTAATTTCAATGAAAAACACTGGGTAATTAGAGCAAGCTCATATTACACAAAAATGGCAACTTTAAATAAAGTCAAAAATAAATGCTTCTATGCATTATTTTTCAAACCAAAATGAATTGGATTTTTAGCTAATATATTTTTCTTTATGAAAAAATTAATTTCATTATTTTAGCACCAAAATTTTGCGCCACAGAATTATTCACGCGTGATGATATTATTTTAACAAAGCAAAAAATTTAAAAGCGTTTTAATTAGATGATGTCCGCTAATTACTGCATATAAGTTTAGGCTAATTGTACTGATTCCAATTATCACCACAAAGTCGATTCGAAAAACACAAAGCAACTTTAACTTCACTGCTTACATCTAATAAATCTTTAAGTATGCTCATATTACCAAGGTGCCCATAATACCCTAATTTACCCTACAGACCATTCAAATTTATACCACATTCATAATCTTCAAAAAATCTGTTTAAATAAAATTTTATAAATAAGATTATATATAAAAAAAGAGTAAAAAAATAAAAAAACAGATTATTCCTTGTATTAATCCTAAACTTTAGGATTAGTGTTAATGATTATTTATACTTTAGCTTAAAGTTACAAGGGGTTATCTATTCTGTGTAAATAATAATAAAAATGTTAAGTAAATCATACTTGACAACGTTCTTACTTTTGTACAATCGTTCTTTGACCACATAAACAAAGATTTTGAAGTGACATTTGTCTTTTTTGTTGCAAAAAATCAACCAATTTTTCTTCTTTGATACTTTGAATGAACTCAGCTAAAGGTGTCATCTTACTTATTTTGAAGGCGGTAAAAGCTGGAATAAGGAAGCGCGAGATTTTTTTTTTACATCAAGGTGTGATATTATTAACCCCAAACCCACTAAAAAGGATTGTTTTTCCATAAGAAAGAAAAAGCATAATAAACTATCCTATAGATAGATTTTTTTTTCCTTTAAATTTTTTTGAGGATCATCTTGATTATTTGTCAAGAGAAGTAGTGATTTGTGAACAACATTGAGGCAATTCACCAGAAATCGGTATTGCAGGAACAAGCTACAACTAAAAATTGATGCATAGTAAAATAAAAACATTTGAGTATAGAATCTATACTTGAATGCCTAATCAGAAAACTGTATCTAAGATACAGTTGTCTGATTATTTAGCTTTTTTCAACATCTTGAAGTATGTATAACTGAAGAGATTTGTGCTTAAATTACTTAAGTCACAAAAAAAATGTTTTGAGAAAATCTACTTTGATTAGAGATATAAAACTTTAAAATAAGTATTTAAAATGATCAAAGAAGATTTTCTGATCAAAGAAGATTTTCTCAAAAGCATTTTTTTTTTTTGCGACTTAAATACTTTTAGCACTATTTTTTTGGTAAAACAATGTTAGGTATTATACTTAAATGTTTAAAACATCAATCTTTTTTTATGTAAAATGATAGCCTATAAACTAGATGCTTTTTTTGTTTGTTTGAAAAGGTGTGTATTAATTATTATTTTCAACAATAGCTGCTTACATTGCAGGAAGATTTATATAACTGATTTTGTTACAAAAAAAGATAACTTCCCTGACTACCGATCTTACAGATCCTACAAGAATCCTATAGGATTAGTTGCACAAGTCCCTGCAGTACCTAAAAAAATATTTTTGAAAGATCTTGTAAAATTTGAAGGAGCTCTTATAGGATAAAGTAAGATCTACAATAATATTTTTAAAGATCTTGCAGGAATAACATAGAATTCTTTTAGGATGCTGTAAGCTAACTTTAGATTCGTACAGGAACCATAGTGTTTAGTATTATTATCATTAATATCACTTATTATAATTATATAAATCTATAATACTATAGATATATCTGTATATAAATATATATATATCTATAGTGTACTATCGCATTATCGTTAAAAGTAAAGATTCAATACCCACCAGAATTTTTAACTTGCCTATATTATACTCTTGGCGGCACTTTACACATATATCAGGCCCATACCATGGGGGATTGTCAGGTGCGATCGACCCCCCTTTTAAACCAAATTCTCCTAATTTTATGCAAATTTTATCATAAAAATTGAGTAAGATATATATTTGCATATCAAAACGGCTTTCAAAAACAATCCTCACTAAAAATTTTCACGGTACAAACCTGTATATATTTTATTTATATATTTCAATAAAACTAGTTTTAAATTATTTTACATTTAGAATATGTTTTCGTTTTTCTAAAAATACTAATGCAGTATTTTCGTTTTCTAAAAATACTAATACAGTGGTGTGCAGCGCAGTGGATAGCACGCTTGGCGTATCTCTAGCGATTGGGGGTTCGAAACTCAACTCTAGACAAATTTTTACATCGGTTAGTAAGGAGACATGAATTTCTTATTAAATGCTTTTCCGCGGTGCTCTGTGATATAACCGTAATGCACCTAACACCAAAAAAAAAAGAAAAAAAATTTTTTTTTTACGAATCCTATAAGGTACCCTAAAAGCTAATCACACGATTTCTTATAATCCTATAGGATTTGCAAGATAAATAAAATCTTATGAATCTTTTCAGATACCCTATAGGGTAATCACAGGATTTTTTATGATCCTATAGGATTTGAAAGATAAATAAAGTCTTACAAAATTCTGTAAGATATCCTCTAGGATGTTATAAGATTATTGCAATCCTGTAAGTTGTCTGTAAGATAGTAAACTAGGGTATAAATATTATATTAAAATATTATATCAGTATTATGCAAGATCTGAAAGTATTAATTGGCTTTTTTTTTAAAATATTGGTTTAAACATTTAGCAATATTCTTTTTATTTTTTTTTAATTTTAAGTTTTGATTTTTTCTACCGCATAAATAAAGTGGAAGAACAATAAAAAGTATCCTTGCACTTTTTATTATAAAAGAAATTGAAAAACACAAAGTAAATTTTCCATTCGAATGTTTTTCTACTAACTAACAAAACTCCAAGAACATTCAGTAGTAAAAAATGACTATAAATGAAAAATGACCGAATTTTTTTTTTTAAATTAATGTTTAAACGTTTGAAGAATAGAATTTAGCCAGCAAAAATATATTATTTAAGTTAAATAAAATCTTTCCTTGAGATAACAAACGAGAAACAAAGAATGTTTATGTTAATCAAGGTTAAAAAATGAATTAGAGTGTTGAAGTAGATTAAGGAAGAAACATTTTCAATTTTATTTCTTAATATTTTGAACCAACTATTATTAATTAAGATTTATTAGGGTATCTTAAATAGTTCAGTTTAACTCAAACTTTTTTTCAGTGCACTTTCAGCTGGCAAATAGTTAAAGATTTTTAACAAATAAAGGCATTAAATTATGCAACGATATTCGTATTATTTACGAACTTAAGAATGTGGATCAACTACTTAAAAAATTACTTTTAATGTAAAAAAATGTTTGTTTTTACAACGTTTTTATAAACTTGCTTTCTTGTATGTGTGAGTGTGTGTGTGTGTGTCCATCCGGTTAGAATCTTTGAAGCTATATTTAACCCACTTCCCGAGTAGCTAGAGCTCTGAAACTTTCAGGATAACTCAGAACCCGATGACAATGCAATTTAAAACCATTTTCAAGCTTTGGCAGTCAATATTTCTCTCTGTTTTAACAAAATGATTAATGAATGAGTTCAATACTTTTGCAATTCTTTTGTTACGTAACTCTGATGAATTCTTTTGTGCTGAATTCTTGTGTTACGTAACTCTAACTAATTATATAAAATAATTTGTAATGGACAAAAAATATTTCAAATAATTCAGCGCGCGTATTGAACAAAAATTTAGTAAACAAATAAATGATAAATAGTGTAACTGTTAAAAACAAACAAATCTTAAAAGTAAAAAATAATTTCTGATTATATTCCGCTTATAATGATGACAGATTTTATAACAAATTTGATACACGTAAAACGAAAAACGTTAGGCGCCAGGGCCGTCCCGAAGAGGTCTTCCATGGGGGGGAGGGGTTGTTTGTATGTCTTCCATGGGGGGAGGGAAAGACACCCCTTACACCCCCTTCGGGACGGATCTGTTAGGCACAAGTGATGATTTGATAATATTATGACATTATGGAGTATAACATTTAATGCTTTGTTTGTGTGAATGTATTTTAGTGTATCTATAATCATTTAAATAGAGTTGGATATTTTAATGATCAATGTAGATATATTGCACTGATATATGATTAACGAAACCATTAAGTGTTGGTCGATCAACAATTTTATTATATGCGCCCAACGTTTTTCGTTTTACGTGTATCAAATTTGTTATAAAATCTGTCATCATTATAACAGGAATATAATCCAACATTCTGACAAGCTCAAAGAAAAATTATTTTCTACTTTTTAGTTCGCTTGAAAAACGTTGTATTTAGAAAAAATTCATTTTTTATTGTAGATTATTTTAAAATTAGTGGTTAGAAGTTTTAGTCCAATAATTCATAAAATATTTCAAAAAAAATAGCGCCTATACAATCATTAAAACAATCATTAAAACTACCAAATAAGCAGAATGTGGAATTGAGCAGTATTTAAAATTTTCATTTCTATATTAACAATTATCAATTCATTTTTTATTTACTTTATTAGTTCCTTTCGGATTGTTTTCACACTTTAATGAAATGTTTTCATTTAGTTGGTTAATCCCTTAAAGGGAAGTTCTTTAAAGAGATAAACCTTTTATGTAAATTAAGTAATTAAATAAATCTTATATTGGAAAACAAAATATGTTCAGAATGAAAATTTAATTAACTATATATTGTGTGCATATTTAAACATTTAAAAACCTTTAGTGATATAACACACACACACACACACACACACACACACACACACACACACACACACACACACACACACACACACACACACAGAGTTAACAACGATCTGCATAGATTTAAGTATTGTAATATCTTTTCAGCTAGGATGGAAAACTACAAGGGTTTAAACCAGTGCATATTAAATAAATATATGATCCTTGACACCAAGGGTAAAGTTCAAGCAAACTACATATGGATTGATGGTTCAGGAAAAACATTGCGGTCAAAAACAAAAACCCTTGACTATGAGCCTGAAACACCCGATCAGCTTCCAATATGGAACTTTGACGGTTCGTCAACAGGCCAAGCAACCGGGGATAATAGCGATGTTTATTTGCATCCAGTAGCCATTTTTTCTGATCCCTTTAGAGGAAAAAAACATAAACTTGTTTTTTGCGAAACATACACTTTCGATCACAAGCCAACAGAGTCTAACAAAAGAAAGTCATGTAAATCTACAATGGAATCTGTGCAGGTATCAATTCTTGTAATTAATTTAAATTTTTGTTTTTTATTTTATATAAAAGCAATATTTTGCAAAGCTATGGCAACAACAAAATTATAAAAATCTTAAAAATATATACATTTATTTAAAAAAAAAAAAGAAAAAAATGTATTTTTTATATAACACAAACGTTATGAAAAAATGTATCATGTGAATACCTTTTACTAAAGTATATAAGCAGCTAAAAAAAATGTGTCAAACATGAAACGTATTGAAACGTTTTCCAAGCGACACGTGAAACTACCTATATTTATATATATTATTAGTTACAACATTTAGGATTCTCATCCTTGGTTTGGCTTAGAACAAGAATATTCTTTATTTGATCGTGATGGACAACCGCTCGGATGGCCAAAAGGTGGGTATCCAGCTCCTCAAGGGCCATACTATTGCGCAGTTGGAACTGGTAAAGCTTTTGGAAGAGAAGTGATGGAAGCTCATTATAGAGCATGTCTTTACGCGGGAGTGAAAATTGCTGGAGAGAACGCTGAGGGTGAGGCATCACAGGTTTGTAAAGTTTTTTATTAAATCTTTCAAATTTGAGTTAATGTGTAAATTTGTCTATGTTACATATATAATGACTTTGTATTAGTTTTTTTTGTTTAGTGGGAATTCCAAATAGGACCATGTGAAGGAATTGAAATGGGAGATCATCTATGGATAGCTCGGTATTTACTTGAAAGAGTGGCTGAAGATTTTGGAATTGTTGTTACTTTGGACCCAAAACCTATTCGAGGTGACTATTGGTACGGCGCCGCATGCCACGCTAACTTTAGGTATTATTTGTTTCTATTATTTATGTCGTCGTTGCTGTAATTGTTGTTGTTGTTGTTGTTGCTGTTGTTGTTTTTGTTGTTGTTTTTGTTGCTGTTGTTGTGTTCACTTAAAAAATTAAAATAAAATACACAAACATAAAAAATAATTTTTGTAGAAATTAATACAGAAAAACAATTACCTTAAATTATTACACTTTTTAATAAAAAAGCACTCTTGAAATGCGAAAAGAGGGAGGAATTAAAAAAGTATATGAAGCTATTGAATTATTATCAAAGAACCACAAACACCACATTCGATGCTATGATCCGGCTGGAGGTAAAGACGACGAAAGACGTTTAACTGGACATCACGAAACCTCAACAATACAACAATTCTCTCACGGAGTTGCAAATCGTTGCTGCAGTATTCGCGTGCCGCGCCATTGTGATGAAGTTGGCTACGGTTACTTGGAAGATCGAAGACCTCCATCAGATTGCGATCCATATGTTGTCACAGAAGCACTTGTAAGAACAGTTATTTTGAATGAAATAGTGAATGAGTGAAGTTTTATAAAAAATTTAAATATTTGTCAAATAAATGTGAAGATCTACTTAAAATGTTTTAAAGAAACTAATCAAAAGTTGTTTATTTTTTTTCTCTCTGCTATCTGACAAGCAGGGGCAAAACTATGGGGCGTGGGGTGTGTGTAAGTGTTTGTGTGAAGAGGGGGTGCTATGTTGGAAAATCGCCTCAACAGACAAGCATTTCGATAGCAGCTAAATTATTTTTTTTATGACTTTAATTTTTTTTTACTGTTCTTAAAACATACCAGTTTTATATGCCATTATAATATATCGGGAAAAGTAGGGAGAAGTGGGACGCATAAATTTTTTGGGTAAAAGCAATATCTTTTTTATTTGATGTATAAACTGAACCAAACAAGTTTTTACGAATAAACTTTCTTTTTAGGCACTGATTCCGTTCCCTTTGGTTTCCAGCCAACTATAACTATGTATATAAATATTTGCTTTTAGAGAAACCATGCCATTGGGATAAAATGGGACAAGTGTGAGTAGATAAAGGACAAATAAAATTAAACAACATTTTAACACAAATTGTTAAATAGAAACTGATATAATCATTAAATCAACTAATCGACATAAAAATGTTTAAGAAACTTTTTTTTTTTTTTTACAATTTTTTGCAAATAAAAAAAGTTTACAGTCGTAACTTATAAAAAAAAATATTTACATGACCGGGGCTAGAAGAAGACAAATTTAGTCTTATCATTAAGCCCCAAAAATCGTGTCATTAATAGACAAAATATAGTTTAACAGTAAAATATAGTTTCAATGTATATATCTCTGATTTATATTATAAAAGAAAACGTAAATTTATTTCACATCGTTTAAAAATTATAGTTTTTTAAAGAATAAGATTTAAGAAATGTTTTGTAAAATTGGTTTGAAAAATAAGAAGATTTGATTTTATATAAAAAACATAGTTTAACTTATTTAATTATATTTATAATACTTTTACATTGTCAATAAAGTAAAAGCAAGTAAACTGTAAAAAATAAAAGTGAAAGATTAATAACGCAAAAATAAAAAATAAATTTCTCAAAAAGAAGATTATCATTTAAAATAATAAAAATATATGTACATTAGGGCATCCCGTACTTTTCAACTTTGTTTAAAAAACTCGGCCCTTATAATTTTTTTGCTGTTAGGTATATACATTAAAGAAAGACATAAATAAATTTATTAGAATAAAATCAACATTTGCAAAAATTGACCTTAAGTTTTCAAAAATTAACTCAAATGGGGAGGGAGACCAAAATCATATTACGTCTAAGATTATCCTATATAGATGGTAAAAAAACTTTAAAAATCTATTTTAATAATGTCAGTAAATATAGAACAGTTTTAAAATATTTAGAGTGGTACTCAAGCGCTCCTTTCTTCAACAACCCTCACCCCCCCCCCCAACCCTTAGTGTAAGAGGTTTTATAAATGCTTACTTAAAATATGTGGGTTATTTAAGTTGCAAAAATTAAACTCATTTTTCAATTTTTATAACTCTAATAGAGGTGAAAAAGAATGCTAAAATTGAATCAGGTCCTTCTTGCTGTTAAAACGAGACATTATCGATCTATTTTCTGCCCTTGCACGAATAAATTCATCTCGTCTCTTAAAACCAAACACTGTTTCAGAAGCTGCAGTTACCTAAATAAAATAAACTCTCTTTAAAAGTATATTTAATGCAGTAATTTTTTTTTTTCTTTTTAAACAACTATTATAATATTGAGGTTAGGGAAAGTTAATTTTACCTCTTTAAATGCCCTCTCAACTCCTTATGTGTGAATAGGGAAATACGGAACTATCATAGGACAATCCAGGATTTTTTTAGCTCATTTATGTTCCTTTGACAGGTTAAGATAGGTTTATAGGCCTCTTCCCAAGTTATTAACTCAATCAATTTGGTTGCACACAGGTTTAAATGAGGAACCTTATATGTTCAAGGAGCTAGAGTTCCTGTGTCCTCTTTTTTTTTAATTTTATAAAAAATATTAATACATAATTAATCAACATATGTACATTGTACATATGCTGATTAATTTTTTATTAATATTCTAAAGTAATTAATTAACTATTAATTATTGATTTCTAATTTAAAGAAGCTTTATTAGAAAAAACAATTCATTGAATTGAATTGGTTTAGAGAATAATTAATTTTCATTTCATTATTTAATATTATGTTCCACAACTTTGGTCCTCGGTTTACAATAGAGAATTTAGTAGCGGAATAATAAGTTTTGGATTGAATTTTTTCAAAAATTGAATAAAATAAGATTGGTAATATATTTTTATCAAGTTTGAACATGAAAATAAGAACATGATAGAGATTTAGTTTATATACAGTTAGGATATTGAGTTCGTAAAATAGTGTTTATGTGTGTGAAAAACGATCTACGTTTGAAACTATCTTTATAACCTGTTTTTGTTTGCTAAGCAATTTTTTTATTTTCGTCGCGTTAGTGCTACACCAAGCAATGTTCGCATAACTTAAGTAGCAATGAATAAAAGTAAATATTTTTTAAACATGATCTATTTAATAACTGCTTAGCATTGTACATTATACCTAAATTTTTTGATATTTTATTTTCAACTACACCTACTTCGTCTAGAAACACGCCAAAAAACTTTATTAACTTTAAAAACTTTCACTAATCGAAATAATCAAATAGCGACGAAACGAAGCGGGAAATAAATATTTCTTTTTTTTGTCCCACTTCACCCCAATGAAAACATTTTTTCAAGGTATATTTTAAAATTAAGGCTTCTAGCGCACGCAGGAAAACAAAACAATTTCTGCTAAACCGAGGGGAAGAAATTTATTTATTTACATTAAATAATAGTATTAAGGTACCACTTGTAATTAGAATTTTCAGGCTGTCCCACCTCTCCTGCGTCCCACTTCTCCCCACTCTTCCCTAATAGTTCGGTGCTTTCACGGACTTACAACTATGTGCTTCTAAAAAAAAGATTTTTGTGGATATACATTTTTTTGTTCGCCGGTAATCTACTTTGTTCAAGCTTAGCTAACTTTTTAAACTAAAAAATATTTAAGGTTTATGATAGATGATAAATTATTGGTAATGTTAACCTCGTTACTTAAATAAATTTAAGGCATTACTAAAATAAATTTAAGTAATAAGTGTTGCCCCGAATTTTAGGGTAAAAAAAAATCTATAGCGTAATTAAAGTTGTATGAAAGAGCCAGGTTTTGAAAGAGCTAATACCATTATATCCAACTTACTGGCACCCGATGAGTATTTTATTTTTTGTGTGGCAATGCTGGATTTGATAAAACATATATACTGCATTGTTATATATATATATATATGTGTCCTTCTTTTTTACAAATAATATTAGATTAAAGTTTCGGAAAAAAATGTTTAATTTCAGGTTATTTTTTTTACCGTATAATTTTTTGAAAGAGCCCCTTTTTTTATGCTATGAAAAAACTGGCGTTAACTATTTAGCTTTTTTTAAAATTATATGACTGTTTTGCGCTTCATCGTTATTCGTAATGTTTCATTGATCATATTCTATTGAAATTAATTGTTTGAATGACTTTCCCTGAAGTCGTAAAATATAGGTGCTTTTGAATCTTATAATAATAATGTTTTTACTATTGCAACATTTTGTTCACCACCAACACACTATGCGTCGCGAAGCGGAAATAGGATTTTAGTTACTTTTCTGGAAATAAAAATCAATTTTATTATTTTAAACATTTTTCAACTGAAACAAGTTAGCATTAGTTTAAAAATTTAAAGTTTTTTTAAATTTGCCTTTTTAAGTGCGGGATTTTCAGGGGTAAAGAAACCCGAGTTTTCACTAAATTATCATATTAGATACGATAATTTCCGAATTTCCTCAATTTTTTTGTATATTATCAAATAAATGATACTTTTTGTAAATTAAAAACCAAAATAAAAAAAATGTTTGGATCATTGCTTTTGTGTGTCCCTAAAGATTGATTGATTAGACCATGTTACTACAGAGGAAGCCAGTTTTTTATTTATTATAAATTTTCTACGATAAATAGACTTTCTAGAAGTGAAATAATATACTGGCCACCTCTGTAGTAACATAGTGTAATATCGATTCGTTGCTGTGGGTTTTATTAAAAACCAGTTAGTTTATAAGTATAAAAAACAGCATTAGACGCGGAGCGGTGCATTTATTCTAGAGCGGTAAGTTATAACTTCTCAGTTAAGAGTGGTATAATGTTTTAAAATGTTTACTTTTAATCTCCGCAAATTTTTGTTTAATAATTTTCCTCCTAGGTATATTTTTTTAAGTAAAAATTTATTTTTGAAGTTCACATTTTTATCATTTTATGCTGGTTACACAGTGAGTTTTACTGACTTTTTATTTGATAAAAAGTCTGACTTTTTATTTGATAAAAATTTGTAAAAGTTGTTTATAACTCAGTTAGAAACCATTTTTTTTTTTTTTTTTTTTTGATGTTTTATATATAGTTAGTAACTAAATATAAAAGATCAAAAACCAACAAAGTAAATATCTCCTGTGAATATAATATGTTTTATACAGCGTGTAAAATAAGAAATCGAAGACGAGCGGCCAATTTGACCGATTAACCTTTGGAATTGACGGTCAACTTTTTTTTTGGACGGTCAACATTTTTATTATTTTCTTTGTTTTCATTTTAATCTTCGTAATAGTTCTTCGTGAGTGAACTTTATAAATACAAAAATAACTTAATGTTTGATTAACGAATTAGTATTCCTTTGTTAAATTTGCAAATAACAAACATTAAAATTACACGCCAATGTTAATAGTTTAAAATTAAGCGCGCAGATTTTACTTTTATTTCTTAAACGAAGTTTGATAAATTGATAAATTTTTTTAAAGGAAGTTTGATAAATTGGATAACATCCAATTCATTCAATTAGTGATATCACTTACCAATGCCACTATTAAACTAATTATGTTCGTCACTGATAAACAGATTATATATATATATATATATATATATATATATATATATATATATATATATTATATATATATATATATATATATATATATATATATATATATATATATA